GGAAAGAGAGCATGATGAGGGAGATACAGAGAGACTATCTCAGCCTCGACCTCCTACATGAGCGGCGTTATAACCACGATTGGCACTACAGGGGGTCTCGGGGGTCACATTGGCTATTAAATACAACCTATGGATATAATGAAACTGTCATTTATTTTTATTGTTATTACTGACTGTCATTATTTGTATCTTATTTAACAATGCATTATAATATCTAAGTGTTATGTATTGAATTCATAATTACATTTCTTGTCTTATGTTGTTGTTGTCTTATTTCTTGTCTTATGTTTGTTGGATGTTGATTATATTAATCAGCTGCAGCTTTAATGAGGGGAACAGATGCTACTGTTATTTTGTTACTGCTGTTTTGAATTAAACACCACGCCAGACAGGGACTTAGTATCAAAATAATAGTTAGCTTTTCATATTCATCATACCTCTCTCATGGTGCGTCTTAATCAAGTTTGTTGTCTTTCAACCTTTGGCTGATGTTACTTCAAGCTGCATTTGTTTTTGGAACAAACATTTTGTGCACTAATTGAATTACAGTTGATTTCAGTAGAGTTTTAGCATGTTGCTAAGCTAGCAGTATAATACTGTAATGAGTTGTGAAAAAAGACTTTAGCTTACTTTTAAAAAAGTGTTTATTACAGGAATCGTATACTTTAAAAGAACTTAAGTGTCAACTGAATTTTGCATTTTCAGACACTTAATTGCATGTTATTTACAATTAAATGTGTATAGTTTATTTAGAGTCTGTTAAGTAGGACTTAAGTACATCTTAACATGTAACTGTATAATAATTTCTGTTGAAATATTTCTCTTTGAAATATGGTTAAAGTGTACTTTAGTTTTATAAAACTAAAATATTCTTTAATGTAATTTCTATTGAAACTTGTATGTCATGTATTTAAACATATTTGTATGTTTGTATACATTGATTTACTGAATAGAATGTGTTTGTGTAAGTCCATTTTATATTGCTTCAGAAGTCCCATATTTCAAAACACCCTTAATACAGTAAATAGGCATATAGTGTATTTTTGCAAACCAGGTATGATAACCAGTTAATATGGGCATCAAAATGAATATACATTGCTTAAATGTTCCAAATGTGAGATTTGTGAAACTTTTGGCTTTTTAAATTGAAAGGCGTAACTTCCTTTCCTATAGCTGCCACATTGAGCAACACGATCTTGACAGTTTTTTTTTTTCAACAAGTGGTCTGTCTTTAGGATTAAACAAGTGTTGTGCACTACAGAGGGTTTATTTAGCATCTAATGGTACCTCGTG